TAGTTTATGTGCAGTGAATACCAAGAGTCTACGTTACTTGGTTTTTTTTAAAAAAACCTTAGAATGGGGCGCGCTGATTTAAAATATGCATATATAAGCAGAAGCAAGCGAACTGATTCGAGGATGGCTGATCAGGTCGGCACTCGTTGAATGAGAATTTCACTTCTTCGTTTTGTTTAAAACGTTGCTTTGACAGATCTCCACAACCCTGTTATGATTTTCAAAAGTTGGTACCTCTTGCTCTGATAGCCGGGGCCAGCAGGATAGTGGTAAGTGCAATCTGTGATGAGCCTCGAGACTCATTAGACCATGTGCTAACCGTGGCCCATACAGAAATTCACTCCCCTATCAGGCCAAAACAGTGCACAGGCAGGCACAAAACCCAGGTAGTGTCCCGGTCCTGGCTCGGTTCGCCGCGTCGCTTTCCAGCTAAAGAACAAAAGGCGACCCTCGCGGTCCTCGTCACAGTCGGACCTAATTACTTTCACTCGATTACCCATTTCACCGTCACGCTGGGATCCATCACATTTTCGAAAAAATTGTTTCGCGAGTACTTAACAATTTTTTCCTTACTCTCCGTTCAAAGACGAATTGAAAGAGGTCTCATTCATAAAAATCGGCCGAATAGAAGAGAAATTACAGTATTCGAAATCCGAAGAAATCAACGAAACTTCTCCAAACAAAAAATAAAATGAAGGGGGAAAAAAGAAATGTATAAATTACAATTAAATATAATTGACCTCAGAATTTGGCAAGCAATTCAACTATATAACGGAGAAAAAATTGGGAGAAATTACAAAAAATTCGCCTCTTGCAAGGGGCTTCCTTGTAAGAATTTTGATCGGAAGGCAAGGATTGAATACCAGCGCAATACACCATACAATACATGGCGTGCCTGAACAAACATTTTTTTGTGTGTCAAAATCGAAAATTCTTTATATTTCTTAACTACAGTGTCTCTTGAGTCGTTTAAGCAAAAAAAAATTCCGTCAAGATTCGGGAAAGTAAAGGCGCTTTAAAAGTATTCTGGGGCTATGTATCCTAACTGTGTCCACACATGGTTTCTGTTCAGCATATCCATGTGTAAGTATTTTTACACGTAGAATCTAATTTTCACGTTAGGGAGTCGACACATCTCGATTTTTTCGATTTCATACGGAAAATTGATGGTTTTTCGGGATTGAAATTATTATTGTTTCATGAAAAATAAATGCACCCAAAATGACTATAGCATATTGATTTTTATATATTTGCTTCCACGAAATTGGTTGGTAAATTCAACGAGTGAGTGCATCGACCTGGTATATCAAGTTTCTGCAATTTTTTACGACAAATCGGTAGATTTTCGGGATGTAGATTGCTTACTTTCATTTCATGAATGAAAAAAGCACGGACATGGTTGAACTTCTTTGCATGGATATACGTTTAAAATAACAAAATCAAGACATATTTAATGCAATTTCATTTATATCGAGTCAATTTCTTTTCAATAATATATCGGGATTTATAATAGATACCGGTGATTTGGATATTTTAGCCCCAAAAATACCTTTAAATCGACTGTATCTTTCAGGAGTTTGACAGAATTTTTCCTTTCTTTGCTTAAGTATTACGTAGCACTTTTCTTTTAGAATCTGATGAGATATTGCTGGGGGCAGATCAAAAAACTTAAACTCGTTCGAATGGCTTTCTACATTCACAATACACGGTCTCGTCAAAGTGCTTCGTTGAAGTGTTGGATCGTATGAATTCTCTTGTTGTGCTACTTGCCTATTTTGAAATCTCTGTAAATGAAAACTAAAGGGGTTGATATGTGTGAGTTAATGACGCGCCTTATCAACACATTGTGTTGGAGTTCACTGCTTGTTTTTTATTAATGTCACGAATTTCGTTCTCCTTCCCGCACTATTCATTTTTATACTGGCGATGGAAACTGAATTAATATAGCCTACATCAGGTATTTATTTCTAAGTAAATAAAGTGTCGATGGTTAATAAATAAACAACACATTTCTACAATAAAAAGGTCTTTATACGTGGTAAAGAAAATACTAACTTCCATCAACTTCATCCTCTTATCTTGGAATAATCAGACGCACTTGATAAAGGCGTATCGCCATATCATTGAAATAATCATACAATCTCAGTTCCCGACATAGTATGATTGAAAATTGGACAAAGTACGAAATGAAGTTTTCAGGTTGACAGAAGACTCCATTGGTGACCCGTAGCGTTCGTGAAAAATAACTTATTATATTATTGAAGCTGCGATCCAGCCATACTTTTAGAACTGGGAACGCCCACCGATGTACCAATCAATTGGAGTTTTTTTTTTTATTTTTATAAGTCTTTTTATACTGTAAAAAATATTTCATATCATGGTGAAAATTTATAGAATCGAGAATTTATATGAGTACATTATGGATTTTTAGAGTCAGCGTCCAACGTTAATTCGGAGGTTCACGTACAATGTTGAATGTACCCTTTTTCAGTCTCATGGCCGGAACTATCATGTCATATTTTATGCATTTTGTGTATCCAAAGGCATACATACTGTAATCTCTCTATAATAAGAATTCAAGGACCTGACCAATTTCCTCGTCCTCGACAGGTTCTCGTTATTACGATAGTCGATCAGAAAAAGGTGGACGCGCTCTGATATCGATGATGACTCAACTTAATAGACTAAGGTATCATTGAGGGGTGCAAGTTCTTTAATTTTAAGATCCTTTGATCCTGGGATTGCAGGCTTGCTGTGTAGTGCTCCAGTCGGAAAAGGTGTGGACACTACAGTCGGTTCGGCACTGAGATTTACAAAATTTCAGCGATTAAAGCGCGCAGCGTAGTAAAGCGCAATGCGTGAAGTATTTATACATTATTGTAGGCGCTAGATCTTGAAAATATGCGAGTTTTTGCAAAAGAGGCCAATGCTCGTGATTATCAGAGATGTTCCATTTATCCCAAAAAAGGTACATCAGTTTCGAACTGACTTGTTCGAAACGGATAGTACAGGTTTGAAAATTTTGCGACCTAAGTCCAAAAAGTCAGTACTAACCTTTAAATCGGAGTAGAAGAACCAGAAAAACCGTGCAGAGTGGATTTATCGCAACTAATGAGCGGTAGAAATCTTACGCATATCACAGGGTGATCCAAAAGTCCCTTCCACCCCCTCTAACTTTTTACGTAATTGAGATAAAAATTTGAAACTTGGGGGATATTCCTAGGTCAAAGGGAGCTACTTTTCGGCCCCCCTAAAATTTTTAGGGGGCCCCCCTTGGGGGGGGGAAACGGCCCCCAACTTTAAATTTTCAAATGGGAAGCCCCTTTTTGTGATAGCTCTTTCAAAAGAGCATAAAAAAAAGAAAACTTTTCGCGCAAACCCGAAGTCAATATCTCAAACCGTTTCAAAATGGCGGCCGGTTAAAGTTCAAAATGGCCGAAATTTCACACCGGTTATTTGTCGATGGATTTGCGCGAAAATCNCCTTCCACCCCCTCTAACTTTTTACGTAATTGAGATAAAAATTTGAAACTTGGGGGATATTCCTAGGTCAAAGGGAGCTACTTTTCGGCCCCCCTAAAATTTTCAGGGGGCCCCTCTAGGGGGGGCAATGGCCCCCAACTTGCAATTTTCAAATAGGAAGACCCTCTTTGTGATAGCTCGTTCGAAAGAACATAAAGAAAGAAAACTTTTCGCGCAAACCCGAAGTCAATATCTCAAACCAATTCAAAATGGCGGCCGGTTAAAGTTCAAAATGGCCGAAATTTCACACCGGTTATTTGTCGATGGATTTGCGCGAAAATCGGTATGTAGGGGTATTTTGACACGAGAAAAACGAATTTGACATTAGATTTTCAAAAAACCGAAATTTCCAAATTGGCCGCCGGTTAAAGTTCAAAATGTCCAAAAATTTATCTTTTTATAAATCTAAGTTCAAATTTGTTTATCTTATGCCAAAATACTCTCAAATTCCTAGTTTTAGGCAAATCCATCAGGAAAAAACCAAGGTGAAAATTTTCGGCCATTTTAAACTTTAACCGGCGGCCATTTTGGAAATTTTGGTGATTTTGAAAATCTAACGTCAAATTCGTTTTTCTCGTGTCAAAATACCCCTACAAACCGATTTTCGCGCAAATCCATCGACAAATAACCGGTGTGAAATTTCGGCCATTTTGAACTTTAACCGGCCGCCATTTTGAATTGGTTTGAGATATTGACTTCGGGTTTGCGCGAAAAGTTTTCTTTCTTTATGTTCTTTCGAACGAGCTATCACAAAGGGGGTCTTCCTATTTGAAAATTGCAAGTTGGGGGCCATTGCCCCCCCTAGAGGGGCCCCCTGAAAATTTTAGGGGGACCAAAAAGTAGCTCCCTTTGACCTAGGAATATCCCCCAAGTTTCAAATTTTTATCTCAATTACGTAAAAAGTTAGAGGGGGTGGAAGGGACTTTTGGATCACCCTGTATATTTCTAAAATATCCCTTTAATTTATTTTATAATACCTACTCACGTAAGGAAACTTCATTTACAAAACTGATTCATATCTTATAGTTTTGTGTTTCACAAATGAATAAACACGCAATCTTACTGAATAATGAACTATTCTAAGCCACCTCAAGAGGAAGTAAACAGATTTTCATTTTATTTTTACAAACTATAGTAAGTTCAAATTCATATCAAATTATTTATTTCACAATTAAAAGCTTTTTGCACCCAACTTGCGAAGTATTCACTCCAACGGCTGACAATAAGTGTATGTTAACAATTGGCTCTTTTTAAACAAATATGCCTATCAACAACAAAATCATCTGGTGTCGTAATTGATAAAATATGCGCATAGGTTTTTCTTTCCAAAAAGGAATTCCATTTTCAGTCCATGAACTGTCTAGACTTGATGAATAAAACTCCGATTTGATTAACTGATAGACTTAGCCGATTAAAATTAATTGAGTAAGATGATAATAATCATCACTAGGTATGCTTCCTATCTGATAAAAGTGAAAAGTTTTCATTGATTCGTCACTCCCCGTGGCTCCTATCAGTTTTGATAGGACTGCGTGATATTTTTGGAGAAAACAGCCACGTGCCATAATTTCAAACCACCGGTACGACAAAAATTTTTAGAATTGACCGAACATGAAGTTTAGTTCACCATGTCTCAACTATAGCCTTTTCTCGCGTCGAGAGCCTTTTGGGTATATTTTGCATTGACAGACCAATGCAAATGATCTTCAAAGCATCAGTTTAAGTTTTCAGTGATAAAATGAGCATTTTTAGATTATCAAGCTTGCCAGTGTAAAATAAATTGTAACCTATGAAGTTGAAAAAACCCCGAAAAGCTTTGGTACCTAATGAAAGATTTCAGGAAAAAAGGAGTTCTAAGTTCGTAGTGTTAAACTAACCTTTTTCCCAGTTTTAATTGACGTGATTTAAGTGGTTTTGGTTTTGTTTCGTTTGTTTTTTTGTTTTTTTGTTTTTTTTTTGTTTTTTTTTTTCTAAATGCCGGTGGTGGCAACAACCTACACGCTAAAGACCATGCTTCAGTCCAGATTGCTATTGCTGATGTCGATGCCTCTAGACAAATGACTGATGCCGTCAAACACCAGGTAATCGGCGGCGAAATCAAGCAGATAGGTAAATTAGATGACTGTGTCTACAGGCTGGCAAAGGAGGACGGAATATCTTAAGTTCTACAAGTTGACAATATGATTATGGCTCTTGCAATCTCCTTTTTGTTATTGTAAAGAACAGAATCCTATACACACGTAGACAGACACACGTACCTAACACGTACTTAACACGTACCTACCGTGTCCTAACAGGCCGTTCGTAGCGTGGAAACAGCACGTAAAAAAAAAAAAAAAAAAAAAAAAAANAAAAAAAAAAAAAAAAAAAAAAAAAAAAAAAAAAAAAAAAAAAAAAAAAAAAAACAGAAAAGAAAACGACGAAAAAAAACTAGCGTATTAAACTTTAAAAAAAAATTGAAATTCATCGTGGGCGTACTGGTACGTAACGCTGAGCTTGACATCCCATCACCCCTTTTCACGCTCAATCACAAAATTTTGAAGTCCCACCTACCCCCCAGAGCGTTTCGTAATTTTTGGATAGTCTTCGCGCGGAAAAAACAACTTAACGCTGACCCCTAACACTTTAGGTAAAATAACGCCAACTACGGGCTGAATAGTGCTAGACTCTAAAGCAGTGCTGCCGTGCTAAGGAAAAGCGCCGTGATTCAAGAGTTGTCAAATTTCCTCCAATAAAATGTTTATCATCAAAGTTAGTTATGCATATTTTTCCTTGCAATTTTCAGGAACTTTACGTGAAATTGAGACACAATTATCTGAAAAACAAGCAGTGAACTCCAACACAATGTGTTGATAAGGCGCGTCATTAACTCGCACATATCAACCCCTTTAGTTTTTATTTACAGAGATTTCAAAATAGGCAAGTAGCACAACAAGAGAATTCATACGATCCAACACTTCAACGACGCACTTTGACGAGACCGTGTATTGTGAATGTAGGAAGCTATTCGAACGAATTTAAGTTTTTTGATCTGCCTGAAGCAAAATCTTATCAGATTCTCGAAGAAAAGTGGTGCGGAATAATTTAAGCGAAGAAAGGAAAAATTCCGTCGAACTCCTAGAAGATAAAGTCGATTTAAAAGTATTTTGGGGCTAAAATACCCAAATCACCGGTAGTATAAATCCCTTTACATTATTGAAAAGAAATTGACTCGATATAAATGCAATTGCTTTAAATATGTCTTGATTTTGTTACTATAAACGTCTTTCCATGGAAAGAAGTTCAACCATGTCTATGCTTTATTCATTCATGAATTGAAAGTAAGAAATCTACATCCCGAAAATCTACCGATTTTCCGTAAAATATCGCAGAAAGTTGATATACGAGGTAGATGTACCCACTCGTTGAATTTACGAATCAATTTCGTGAGTGCACATATATAAAAATCAATATGCTACAGTCATTTTGGGTGCATTTATTTTTTACGAAACAATAATAATTTCAATCCCGAAAAACCATCAATTTTCCGTATAAAATCGAAAAAATCGAAATGAGTCGACTCCCTGACGTGAAAATTAGATAACGTGTAATAATACTTACGTATCGATTTTAGCCGCTTTGCCTGCCTCTCCTCGTTATTTAGAAACCGTTCCTATATTCATCTCAAACTTTTTCTCAGAGCTTTGTGTTATTATCAGCTTCCATTTAAATCCCGGTTCGATGACCGAATCGGCTGCCCAAAAAGCAAGTCATTTTTGAAAGGTTCTATGAGAAATTCGTGATATAATCGGCTCTCAGGAAATCACCTCCATGGCTAAAATTGGCGGTATAAATGTTTGAGTGCTTAAAATAATCGTATTCAGAAACTAAGGCATTAAACTATGGAGTCAATTTCGTTTTAATAATATAACGGGATTTACTACCCGTGATTTAGCTATTATAGCCCCAGAATACTTAAAGTATACTTAATACTTATAAATACTTTCCAGAATCTTGACAGAATTTTTTTTTTTTTTGGCTTAAACGACTCAAGAGACACTGCAGTTAAAAAATATAAAGAATTTTCGATTTTGACAAAAAAAATGTTCGTTCAGGCACATCGTGTATTGTATGGAGTACTGCTGCTATTCAACCCATGTTTTCAGATCAAAATTCTCACAAGAAAGCCCCTTGCAAGAGGCGAATTTTTTGTAATTTCTCTCAATTTTTTCTCCGTTATATAAATGAATTGCTGTCAAATTCTGAGGTCAATTATATTTAATTGTAATTTATACATTTCTTTTTTTCCCTTCATTTTATTTTTTGTTTCGAGAAATCGAGGTTTTAATGATTTCTTCGGATTTCGAATAATTGAACTTCTCTTCTATTCAGCCAATTTTTATGAACGAGGCCTCGTTTTATTCGCGTTTTAACGGAGAAGAAGGAAAAAATTGCTAAATACACGCAAAACAATTTTTTTGAAAATTTCCCATGATCCCAGCGTGACGGTGAAACGGGTAATCGAGTGAAAGTAATTAGGTCTGACTTCGGCGAGGGTCGCCTTTTGTTCTTCAGCTGCGGGCCGATTATTGAAATTTAAACCAGCCCGATAAGACATCGAATTGCGATTTATTGCATGGTTAAGATAGGGCTATGTCTTGTCGTGTCGGGCTGACATAGTTTCAATAATCGGGCCGCTCAGGGAAGCGACGCGGCAAACCGAGCCACGATCGGGACACTGCCTGGGTTTGTGCAGGGGAGTGAATTTCTGTATGGGCCACGGTTAGCACATGAATCTAATGAGTCTCGAGGCTCATCACAGATTGCACTTACGGCTGTCCTGCCTGGCCCTGGCTATCAGAGCAGTGTTACCAAATTTTGAAAAGCATAACAGGGGTGTACATATCTGTCTATGCAACGTTTTAAACAAAACGGAAGAGTTACATTCTCATTCGAAGAGTGCCGACTTGCTCAGCAATCCTCGAATCAGTTCGTTTGCTTCTGCTTTTATATGCATATTTTAATTTAGCGCTGAGCATTCTTAGTTTTTTTTTTAAAAAAACCAAGTAACGTAGACTCTTGGTATTCATTTCACATAAACTAGAAAGCCCCAGAATGAGAAAAAACTTTAAATCATACTTATTGACGGATTAGTAAACTTTTTACACGCTTTGGAAAATCTCAGAAGTTCGCGGTAGTCACTTTCCGGTAAGGAACTAAGGGACTCGGTTATTGTATCGAGTGGGGGGTCGAAACGATCGCAAAGGCGGTATACTACGTATACGCGCCAATTAGAAGGAAAATATTCATAAGTGAACCATAAAATTCGTGTTTTATCAAAGGAAATTTGACAACGCCCAAAGATTCATACGGCGTATTTCCTTGGCACGACAGTGTAGGGCTCAACACTACTGCCTGTAGTTGACGCAATTTTTTATCTAAAGTCTTAGGGCTCAGCGCTAAGTTGTTTTTCCGCGTATGGGATGTAAATTAATGAATTTTTATCAAGATAAAACCGTCCAAAAATCACAACGAGTGTGTCAGGAAAATCGATAACTCACTCTTCGACACAAAACTGCACGTACTTGAAAGAAAAAGAACTAAAGACATTGTGACATGAGCCCCGAGATCCATGAACATACATACATGACAGGGTTCATGCCGCAATGGATATACATTATACATAGTTCCTTTTGATTTAAATCCGTCCGATTTGTGCGATCCGTATTACATGTTTTCAAATTTTCCCCGGCTGCAGACATTTTCCTCCGTCGTAAGCAATGGCAACTCATTGGTGGATCCAAGGATTGCTCTATGAGATGAGGGGGTCATCTGGTGGTGCCTGGGGGTCTAGGAAAATACCTTTAGAGGATAAGGGGTCCGAGGGGGCCTCTCCCGAAATCCACAGTCCGTGTAGCCGGTATCAATGTACGGCTGCACGGAGCATGGATCGCGGCAGGGGGGTCAGACGATGCTAATTATGGCCGCAGCGGGAGGGACATTTTCGGTCGCCATCTTCATTTTCCTGCTAATGCACCTTCATATGGGAGTTGCCGAATTGGTTCCCAAGTGGCCGAATTTGTCCCCATTTCCCACGACTGTCATTTCCGTATTGGTTCCCACTTCCGAAGGTCGTATTGGTTCCCGTGTCCGAATTGGTTCCCTTCTCTAAATTCGTAATTCAACATTTTTCATTCAGAATTGCAACACGGCTCGCTCAAGTGAGCCGTGGGCATATTTTACAGACTTAGGACTGTCTACCAAAAAGGTAGGCATGGTTTTAAATGTTGCATGTGAAAATGAAAATAAGAGTGATTCAAGAGGAAATTTTAAAAATAAATGGTCCAGGTTTCTATATACATTTCAGGAGAGGAGAGGATCGGTGAAGGAGGTGCGGAATCTTCACCTGCCCCGGCCGACTAGACAGGACTTTATGAAGGAGGGTAGGCCGTGGGATCCCTGACTAATTTCCTGGACAACTATAAGGAATATTGAGACAATGCAAATCAGAAAATCAAAATCAAAATAATATAATTACAAAAGGAAAAAATTATCAATAAAATTCTGAAGTATACCCAAAAAATGTAGTAAGAAGCTTTTTCAAAAATTGCACGGGCAAGCATTTAAAAGCAATTTTTTTTTAGAAAACCTAAACGATCATGATTTTGAGTATATTCGTTAACCGCAGATCCAGAAATTCCCTTTTTTGCTTTTGCAGTGTAGAGGGAGGACGAGGGTGTTTTGTTGCGCAGTTGCCGCTCCTTGCAAAAAATCAACTCACTCGCAGGAACCAATTCGGACATGTACAATTTTAAATCGGGAACCAGTTCGGACCAAAGGTTTGTTTCATCCGGGAACCAGTTCGGAATTAAGGTGACCGCCACGGGAACAACTTCGGGTTCACCCCTTCATATGGGAGCTTAAAGTGCGCAACTTTGTGCTCAATTTCCTTGGGTTCATATCCTCTTAAAATTCAGGAAAACCCCTTGTGAAATAATACTCTTCCAAAATACAAAATTGAAAATTTACTGAACAAAGCTCATATCAGCCCGGCGGGCTAATGATTGCAATTGATAGACAAAGCGACTGACAGAGAATAAAAAGGATGATTGGAGCAAATAGGTTTCAACGGATGGTTGCCATAGACTAAAGGGGAAATGATGGACTAACCATAGGGTCTCCCGTCGGTTGCCGTTCATTAGTCTCTTATTTACATTCTTTGTCTATTGCAGCCACTATCTCTATGTCTATCAATTCCCATAATCATCCCGCCGATCAAACTCATTGTAGCCTAGTAAGCGGCTGCGGGCAGTGAAAAGGTATTATTGTGTAAGTAATTTCTCCACTAGTATTTTTTCTGAATTATTGAAAGTGCTTTGATGATATCGAACATTCTTTTTTGATACTTCATCAGAAGCTCTTATCGGGTTATGAAGGACCTCCTCCGATAATTTGATACTGTGTTGTCACATTAGTGACGATGTTACTATTTCTTTGCGACCAATCACGAGCCTGCTCTAACTGAGAGTGATCTCGACAGAGCCACTCCAACTATAAAAGGCGGTTCCAGTGCACTCGTTTGTACGTTGTCATCTCGGATGGAGTAGTTACATACTTGGTGGACAGTGTGGTGTGGCGCACAGGTGCAGTGCACCTTTTACAGAGATTATCTATCTTAGGGAAATCTTGGATCCTACTTCTGGTTTAGCCATTTTTAACGTCATAGTCACCAAGAAAAAAAAAAAAAGATTTTGAACGGCTTTCAGTTTAACAGAACACTATGTCTCCTCAGACTCTTCCATTTCTGAATTCGCAGTGAAGTGGAAATATGAAATTAAGGATGTGGCAAAAAGGGGAGGGAGGGTAAAGGAATAAATATTACGATCAACAACAGCAAGAAAGGTATGTTGTACATGTGAAATATAAGTTTTATCTATGATATTTCTTAATTACTGGGTCTGCTGCAGATGATCTGGCATATTCCGGGCAAGTGAGTGAGTCTTCAAATATTTAGGGAGTTGGTTTTTTTGGAGATGTGTTGATAAACCATGTAGGTGAATAAACGTTGAATTCGCCAGTATAATGATAAAAAAAAATAAATAAAGAAAATGAGGTTAGCATCCACGGTGATAGGAGAATCATCTCCAAACGATGATTTTTATAAATGATTTATGATAGTTTCTTAATACTTGCATGAGTCTAAGTTTTTTAAGTGCTTTTCATTTTTTTAGTCGTAACTGTGAAGTTTTGATCCTTCTAAGATGCCGCGGGTTATGATCAAAGGAGGTGTTTGGAGAAACACCGAGGATGAAATCCTCAAAGCAGCGGTTATGAAAAATGGCAAAAACCAGTGGTCCAGAATAACATCAAAATCAGTACAGTCCCGCAAGAAGTGCGGGCAAGGTGTTGACAGCTTGTAAATAAACCGGAGATATTTATTTAGATTTTATAAAATTTTATTTATAATTTTAAAATAATGACAACTACCCATACAGAGTGCGCAAAAACTTGAAGGAAGTGACAAGTTGAAAAATGCTGACTGCTTCGCGAGTTTAACTAATTCCACCAGACAAAGTGTGGTCGGCGCTACACGCATGTTTGACCCTGTATGTCTATGCCCTGCTAAAGCTCTCTAATATTTACGTAGCTACCATTTTGCTTAGAGCAGATCGCTGTTTGAAATTTTCTTATCATGCCGCAATCACACGCTGAATGTGGGAGCTGAATGTGGCTTGAATGTGGAAGTCATCGGCCCGATGCTTGAATTTTGCGCGTGACGCGCAAAATTCAGCAACAATTCTCAGCGACCATCGGATAATGTCGGACTAGTCTGAACTATTTGAATAGATTTAATACACATTTGGATGAAAATGAAATGGTTGCTTAGATGTAACTCCAATCTTTCCCTTGACAACAAGGTATTACTTTATAAGCAGGCTATCAGGCCAGTGTGGTCCTACGGCTGCCAGCTCTGGGGGTGTGCGGCTAACTCCAACATCAAAATAATACAGAGGGCCCAGAACTCTGTGCTGCGACGGATGGTGGGGGCGAGGTGGTTTGTCAGAAATTCTGACATCCACCGAGACCTCGGCATTGAGAGCGTCGTCGGCGCAGTGATCAGACACACAGCTTCTAGATACGAAGAACGTCTCTTGGCCCATCCTAACGAGGAAGCCATCAGACTCTTGGATAATAGTGAGGAACTACGGAGGCTTAGAAGGCGCAAGCCCTTCGAGCTGGCAACCGTAGTTCCCGATTAAGCCATTTTAATCGCAAAAATCCCCCCAGGCGGTGGCTTAGAATTAAAGTGTTTAGTTTAAGTTGTATATGTTTGTTTATACTTAGATAATCACTGATATAGTTAAGGTTTACACACATTACTGCGTGGTGTGTGTATACTAGATCGGCTGCCATGGGGGTGGGCACCGCGGAGACCAGGATCTGTATCGATTCTGATGGGCTCTGTGATGTTCGTCTCCGGACAGCCAAGCTAGAAAAAAGACTCAACAACTGTATATTTTTTTAGTCGATAACCGTTATTTATTTTTACAAGTTACATCTAAATATCTTATTTCTGTATAGAAGTCGATATGTTTAATAAAAAAAAAAAATTTGGATGAAAATAACTCTTAGTGAAATTTCAGCTGTTGAGTGCTGACTGTTGGCTGCCACATTCAACTGCCAAATTCAGCGTGTGATTGCGGCATATGTTACACGAGCAAGCTGCGAGGCCATGTAAGAAGGTTTCCGATTGGCTGTCATTTCGGCATGGCAATGAAGGTCAAGATACACCAGCAAGTTACAAGCGCTTGTTGAAACGACTGTATAGTGTCCAGCGACCCACCAATCATTGCTATGACGTCACGAGACACTAATCGTTGGTCTCTCCGTGTTCTTTCTCCTCCTTCACGGTGACACGTCATTCCTACACCCCGTATCTCGGCTCCTTTTCCATCGATTTTCGTAAAACTTGATACCAGTGGGTATTTTTCAACCAGAAACTTGAATTTTTAGTCACTTTTTCAAAATTCGCAAATCCAAGATAGTGGATGTGGCGTAAAATGATATCGCGGCTCCTATTGCAACAATATTCGTGGAACTTTGTACCAGGAGGTATTTTTCAACCAGCAACTCGAATTTTCAGTTAAGTTTTTGAAATTTTAAAATCCAAGATTGTGGACGAGGCCCAAATTGCTATTTTAGCTTCTGAAATTGATAAATTTATTTTTGTTAAACTTGGCCCCGTTGTCTCAAGTAGCCTATGAGTTGTGCTGAAACTCTCTCATTGGGCCAGATTAATGTTCACTTTATTTGCGGCTGACCGCAAATCAACCAAACGCAAGCTGTGATGACAAAAGTTGCTTTGAACTACGAAAAATATCGATAAATTTAAATCGATTTTTTAAAAAAAATTTTGTCTATATCTTGCGTCTTTCCGATAGTAATGTTGAAGATAGGAGATAAACTTTAAATTAATGTCAATAAATTTTACTGGG